TACCTTCACGGAAAACATTGTACACATAGGAAGCCGATGTGGTGATAGGTGCAACACGTGCTCCAACTGCCGCAATATGTAGTGTTCAAACTCTTGCGCTCTTGTAAACGTCTGTTGAAATAGTCGTGATAGTAAACCAGATGCCTGACATTTTGACGGATTTATGGTGGTGAGGTTCAAATCTAGAGGTTTACAGATCGGTAAACCTCAGTCATTGACTCAGACGTTTCGAGCACTGTGACCCATTTGTTGACAATGGCGGACGGGAAAACGGAAAAGGCATGGGACTCCTGAACACGTCTGTAAAGCAAATGCATAATATATATATATATATATATATATATATATATATTATGCATTTGCTTTACAGACGTGTTCAGGAGTCCCATGCCTNGTAATGATTGTTTATCATTCTAGTCTCATCCTGTGGAATATGCAAATACGCGTTTGCAGGGCCATTGTTTGTTGCGCTCAAACAGTTGAAAACATTTTCCACTTCCTGGATAATTATGGTATGCGGATGTGATCTAAAATTACCAGATTCACAATGACCACACATTTTGACGAAGAGAACAATATCATCGGGGTAATGTCGCTGTCCATATTTCGCGTGAGAGAACCACAAATACAACGTACTGCTTCAAGTTCAAAATACAGAGACTGGTACGTGACAGTTTGAATTTTTGCAATAGTCCGATTGACTGCATAAATCGCATACTCCCTCCTCCCTCAGCCAAGTTTGCAGCTCACACCTAGTGATTTGTCGTATTACAGATTTTCTCTTGTTGTTTGCAATCTGCGTGAGTTCATTTCGCTTTCTTCATTCACTTCATTCTCTCTTTCTTTCACTATTTGATTTTGTTCAGTTTGAAGATCAACAAACCATCTCCTTATCTTGAATAATTGTTCCAATCTGTCCTCGTTAATGCAATCCTTCATCTCAACGGGGTTCGCGGTTATTCTACCAATTTTGTCTGTCGCATAGCTATTAACGGAATTGTTTTATTGTCCGTCGAACCTTATGTACCTGTTGTCCCCGTTGACATCAACTCATGGCGTTTTCCAAATTCTCTTTTTGTAGCAACTAGTGGAACGTGCCCCCAGAGTCAATTTTACTGTGGTCCTCGTCCATCGTACTCGGATTCGAAATCACATTCACCATTACCTCAACATCCTCCACAGTCACAACACTCATCGTCCTCGGTATCATTCACTCATCTCGGTCTGGCGTACAGTAGTGGTTCTTCAGTTCCCTCGGCCGCCGCCCCAGCCTCCTCTTCATCCGCTTCCTCCTCCGTATCGTCGTCTTCGTTGTCAGTCGGATCCCCATCCTTGTCGGCTGCTTCCGTATCCACAAGTAGTGCCAGTCTGTCCAGATCAGACCCGGCCGGTTCATCCGCACGAGAGTTGAGCCGTGCCGTTTTGGGTTATTGTATTCCCGATCGGACGGTGTGTGATGGAATTGCGAACTGTGCAGACTCTCGCGATGAAAGTGTGGCTCGATGCGGCGAACCCAGCTCCGGTAAGTTGAAACTGTGCAACGTGGAGAGAAAGAGAGAACACGGTTTTCCTTCACAAAAAGCTACCCTTTACCCATGAACCATTCATTTTGACCCGAATAGTTTTTCACCATTCAGATTGGTGTGTTGAACAGATGTCCGAAGGAACTCAATTTTTTCACACCTTAGTCTGCTAATCGGTAGAATTTCACCGCCATAAGAACTCACTGTTCAAAAAGGGCAACTTAATCCCTGGGACTTCATCTGACCAACCGCGTTAGGCCCCGGTTGGGTAACCGAACCACCCGACAGTGAGTTTACCTGTCACCAGAGTTGAATAGTAGTGTCAGTGTTCGAATCTCGGACCCTAGAGCCTATAGCACACTCTGTGTATTTCACACGCGTCTGAATCCAGACTGTATGCCAAACAAATCATAGTACAATAATCTGCATAAAAAATAAAAAGTCCATAATTTGCTCGGGAGCACGATACTGCTAGGCTGCCCAGGTTAAAGTAGGTGAACTTTCTTAGAGAGTTCACAACAGGAGCCCTTGACTATCCGAAGCAAGGCAGCGGGGCGGTGTGTGCAAAACCGTAATCCATTGAGAGCCGTTGTCCAGTTCATCGGATAATACGCCCTTTGGACGAAATCAACTATCCAAAGTGTCCAATACACCTCGATACCCAATCGAGCAGGTGATCACTGTCACAATCAGGAATATGTGGTTGGGTATGGTTCGTACATCTCCTCTTGGTCGATTTGGAATCAGGGATTTTAACCAACTCCCCTAGGTTTACCGACCCGGTCACAGCCCCGGATGTCGGCTTTTCGTCCTCTCACTTTGGAGAGAAAACACCTTCGCCCAAAGGAAGACAGTGAGTAGGTTTTCCTCAGCAGTGGCTGTTTGAAACGCTTGGTCGTGCGGGAGCGTTTCGTGAGGTGCTAGGAAGGGGTGACCAGCCGCAACCGAGATGCCCACTCCCGGCCATACTGAGGCATTCGGAGGTAAAACGCACGCTAACGGTAATGACCCAGCCCTATTAACTGTCATCATGTTACTCCATCAGTTAGAACGGTCAGCACAAACCCGGGATTTGGATTGATAAACCGCCCCGTACTCGAATAGAATCTATAGTGTGGGTGGCAACGAGATGTGAACCTCACGAATCGATGTGTAACACCAAAATCGTACCACGAAACATCGAGGATGACAATCCGAACGTACATCGCTCCGATCGCCTTCCAGACAGATTCAGGAAGTCATTCTATCTGAATTTGGTCTGAGTTAGTGATTATGTTGTAGTAGTCGCGGTTTACCTAACATTGATGTGTGGTACATTATTCATCACTCACCCTCTCTTCCGCTTTCGTTGAGAAAGAAAAAAAAACAGATAGGATGATTCAAATAAGGTCAGGCTAATCCAACTCTCATAACGCCAAGCTGCTTTTGCATATCTGCCTATAATGACATCTGTTCTCATACAACTAAGCGTCTCAAGTAGCCTCAGCTAATGAAGCGCTACTCACTGCCTTCCTTTGGGCGGAAGTGTTTTCGCACCAACGTGAGAGGACGAAACTCGGGTTGGTGGACCACTGTTCGTCTGGTTCACTACCACGCCTAACCTATCGGGACCTTATGTGGTTCGCCACTCCAAGTCCCGGGGCTTAGGTTGCCGATTTCAACCACTGAATAGCAGCAGGTCCTCGTGACTATGGCGTTTACCCCGTCTGCTGTTCATCACACCTAGGTGTGTAATAATTAAAAAAATAAACTGTTAGTTCACTTAGGGGAGTTCGCCAAAATCCCTGATTCCAAATCGACCAAGAGAAGGCGTACGAACCACACACATCTTCCCGTTTGTATCAGTGGTCAACGGCTGAATTACGTATTGGACACCTTGAATGTTTGACCCTGTCCAAAGGGCGTATGATCCGATGAACTGGACACCGGCTCCCATTGGATTACGGTTTTCGCACACACCGTCCCGCTGCCTTGCTGATCAGGCTTTGGCTATCCGAAGGCTCCGATTGTGAATTCCTCTAGAAAATTCATCTGCCTCGATCTAGGCAACTTGGCATTATCTCGCCCACATGCAAATTGTGGAACGGTTCTCTTTTTATACAGATTATTGTACCATGATTTGCTTGGCTCGCAGTCTGGCGTCAGATCTGTGATATATATATATATATATATATATATATATACATATATATTCTTCCCTGATTTCTCCCTCCCCCGCTACACACACGCACGTATATCGTTTGACACAGACCACATTGTGGACTTTGAATTTCTTAATTTTGTTCCTTTGATCCACTGTGTTGGTTTCCGTGTGCAAGGATGGGAGGGAGGGAGAACTAAGTTCCTGTAGCAATTTAACTCCACCTGACTATCCGATCACCCAGACTGATACCGATGGGATATGTCCCTTATTGGGCCCGTCACTGCTACTACTGCTGCGTGAAGTTGGAAACACTCGTGAAATTCGACGGGCAAATAT